GGGGGGGTGTTCCTCTTTTCCAGGAATACTACGACAAAGCCAACCTATCAGGGGGGAGTGTGGAGCATCGTTTTGTATTCTTTAACATGGCAGTGCAGCACGTGACTCGGGCAGCGCGTGTTTTCCGTCAGCCTGGGAAGCACATGCAGATGGTCGGCGTGGGGGGTACAGGCAAGGCTACGGTTGCAAAGCTAGCGGCGTATATTGAAGACTGCGCCTTCTTTAGACCTTATGTATCACGAGTATACAACTTGTCGGAGTTTAGAGACGATGTGAAGAAAGCGTGTACTGTGGCCCTGCCATCATTAGCCCTGCCATCATTAGCCCTGCCATCATTAGCCCTGCCATCATTAGCCCTGCCATCATTAGCCCTGCCATCATTAGCCCTGCTATCATTAGCCCTGCTATCAGCCCGTAAGGATTCTGTTCCGTGAGAACTTTTACTAGATATGAAATAGATTGTTTGTCTTCTCTTTCTTAGTGTACTCTACCTTCCTCATCCCAACTCCACGTGGCTGCATCACATCTACGTCACTCAGCTGGGACGCTTCTTGGAGAAAGCCGACTTTGCACTTGATGTACGGGACGCCTGTCAGGACCTGGTGACTACTGCTATGGGCCTGTACTTTGAACTTAGTGCCAACCTCCTCCCCACCCCTACGAAATCTCATTATACCTTCAATCTGCGCGACTTAAACAAAGTAAGGGATTGGAACACAGCGATTTTCAATAACTTCTTTTTCAAGAAAGTCATGCCGCGATTGCATCGGTCTCATATCGCCCGCTCTTTCTTTGCCCTCGTTCTTATTAATAATGATAATGATAATAATAATAATAATAATAATAATGATAATAATAATAGCAATGAAAACAATACCTATTTACGTGATAAATAACAATAGTAGTAATAATAATAATAATAATGGTTTTTCCTCTCGTACATTTCCAAATTTATTGACACGGAACACATCCGTTAAATTCGGTTCTCTAGGATCAGACTCGTATCAGACCCAAACTAACTTTGATAACAAAAACGACCTACATATAAAAATCGCGAAAGCAACTACTAGTTTGTATTAAAAGAATTTCAAAAAACGTGCATCGAAATTATCCTTATAAAAGTAAACTACAATAACAATAATGATAATAATGATGATAATAATAATAATAATGATTATAATGATGGTGATGATGATAATAATGATAATAATAATAATAATGATGATGATGATGATAATAATAATAAACATTTATATAGAGCTAAAACTATACATATATTCAAAAGCGCTTTACATTACATTGAGTATTAAACACTAGTACTGAACACTTTCTTAAAAAGAAATGGTTTGAGTTGTGTCTTAAAAGAAGCCAGGCTGCTACAGGATCTAATTCGTGACGGCAACGAGTTCCAAAAGGCAGGTACAGCGTGAGCAAAAGTACAAGGAGATAGGAAATAGCTTGGCCTACCTGAGCTACATTTGCCACGGTGTTTATAAGAGCCAACCCAGTTTTTCCTCGTCCCAGGTCTTACAGGTATTTCCTGTAAGCTCTGATAAGTTGCGTGATACATTTACTTTATTTCTCTAAGAGGTCTTTACGGCCGCTTAAGTTTGTCCTTAATCGAAGAAGAAATTTGATATGTAGCCGGTGTTGTACCTAACCAACAAGCTTTTGACGTTGTGCATGCTAAGCAAATCGACCCTGGTTTAGCGTGATCTGTACTCCTATCGGCGACAATACTCGTCATCACAGTGGTCAAAATGTTGTGGACACACGAGGCGCAGCCTCGTCTGTCTGCATAAGAGTACAGACCAGGCTAAACCACTGTCGATTTGTTCTTTACCTCAATATGGACGTGAAATAGAACGGCTTTTTTTGAGTATGTGACACGTTGCGTGACAAGCCGACGCGAGAAGCGTTGTCTCTACCCTTATCGATGACAGCAAATTGGCCAATCAGATTGCGGCAATACTGCTAATTGTGGAAAATAAAGTATTTACTTCTAACTCTCGTGTTATTCTTTGGAGGTTATAGAGGGCTTGCTGCAGGCAAACCCATTCGTCATCACGTCACGTGACCACTGCGCTCAGCTGCTTGGCCACGAAGCCTCACGAGTGTTGCACGATCGGCTCACGAACGATGCCGACCGACGGTACTTCTTCAAAGTGTTGTCTGAACAGCTCCACAATGGGTTCAAGACACGCTGGACTGCCGAGGAACTGGAAAAAACGCCGCTGATCTTTGGGGATTTTCTGGAAGGAAGTGAAGCCTACAGCTCTCGGCTGTATCGCTCTGTGCGGCAATATGATCGATTGCCGCAGATCTTAGAGGTGGGTTTCGCTTTTAACTGTTAAACTCCCAGAAGTGATTAACATGTAACTTCTCCCCATAGTATCCATGCATTATCCAGCAAACAGGTAATGAGAATTCTCAAACTTATTAGGTAGAAGTTGTTATCTTGATCTAACACCAAATTCTTGTTACTAATTTACAAGGAAATGTGTCGCCGCTAGAGGGGAGAATTAACAATCAGATTGTGGGAGTGAAAGAAAAAGCAGTAAACAGAGCTGCAAACAGCTGCGTTTTTTTGTTTCCCAAGGCATTTAGATGTTTTGATTGAAACAACCAAGTAAAGAAGATCTTTCATATTGAGTTAGGCTTTGGCTTTTTTTCTGTGACAGATTGGTGATTTCCACCCGTGGCCTTAATTGAAAGTTCGAATCACCTTATTAAACAGTATTTGACTGATGGGGGGGGGGGGGTGTTCCTCTTTTCCAGGAATACTACGACAAAGCCAACCTATCAGGGGGGAGTGTGGAGCATCGTTTTGTATTCTTTAACATGGCAGTGCAGCACGTGACTCGGGCAGCGCGTGTTTTCCGTCAGCCTGGGAAGCACATGCAGATGGTCGGCGTGGGGGGTACAGGCAAGGCTACGGTTGCAAAGCTAGCGGCGTATATTGAAGACTGCGCCTTCTTTAGACCTTATGTATCACGAGTATACAACTTGTCGGAGTTTAGAGACGATGTGAAGAAAGCGTGTACTGTGGCCGGAGTGAAGGGAAAAAACACTGTGCTTTTTCTGTCAGACAATTTGGTTAAGGTCAGTTTCTAAGTCCATTTTTCCTTTCTTTGAATACAGCTCCATTTCTTTCGCTTGACTTTGGAGACCTTTTGCCAGATTCAAGACACCACCTTAGAGCCCCCCTCCCCCCCCCACCACAAAGGTTGTGGGGGGGGTGGCTTTGCGAGAACAATCTAGCACGCCCCACCCAACCCGATACCACAATATTCCCGTCGACGCCAGGGTTAGTTTGTTCTCCGCTAGGAAGGTGTGGCTCTTTGAAATCAAGGAAGGCTTTTTGCAGAGTAAAAGGCAACGATATAATTGAGATGATTTTGTTTAGTGTAGCCTTACTCTTAAGTTCTCATTCCACTCGCACGGAGTGCGATTTACTCTGTTATGTAACTTCCTTGTAGGACGAATTCCTTGAAGATGTGACTAGTATCTTAGCTGGAGCTGATATAGCCAGCTTTTACGACCATGAAGATGTCGAACTTATCTCTTTGGATCTCAAAAAAGAAGCAATACTTCAAGGCGTTTCAGACACGAAAGATGCCATCTTTCAGTTCTTCCTTGAACGCGTCAAGCAGAAGTTACACATGGTCTTGTCCACCACCCCTGCGGGATCCAGTTTCCGGCGGCGTTGCCGCCTGTACCCACCCCTCATAAACTGTTGTACAATTGACTGGTTTGACAAATGGCCTTTGGATGCGCTTCAGTCAGTGGCCGTGTCTTTTCTAGAGCTTTTAGATTTGGGGAAAGATCCAGAGTCGAATAGCGCTCTACTGGGAAGTGTTTCTAAAGTCTTTGTCGAGGTTTACAACAGCGTTGAACAGGAGACACAGAAGTTTCATGAAGAGGTGCGCCGACGATATTACACGACTCCGACAAGTTACATGGAGTTTGTGCGCTTGTATCTGTGTAAATTAAACGATAAGCGAGCCGAATTGAGTTTTAACCGTGATAGATTGTGTACCGGTTTACAAAAGCTGTCAGAGACAAATGAATTGGTGGGCACGATGCAAACTGAATTGTTACAGCTCGGACCTAAACTAGAGCAAAAAGCTAAGGTATGTAAACTTCAATATTGTTTTTTTTGTTTTGTTTGGTTTTTTGTTTCGATGCGTACGCCAAAGTGCGTGGCTAGTATGTTTGTCAAGAGTGCTTCGTCCTTTCTTTCCTGTTTGTCTCTTCATCTGCATGTTTTTCCTATGCCTCTCTGTCATTTGTCTTCTCTCTCTTTTTTATTATAACATAACTAAAGCAAGGCACGCGCTCTGATTGGTCAATTCAGCGTCCTCCATTTGCCCATGGGTGTACGCTGCTGACGTGAACAAATACAAAGACTATTTTTCCGCGCGCGCCTGTTTTTTTCTGGTCGCGCAAGATTTGTTAAATAAAAAGGAACTCTTTAGCTACAATGTATCAATGTTATGTTATAAAACAAGTGGTAAACACCACAGCGTACACTATTAAGTTATGGATGCACTCGGGAGGTTTGCTAAGCACTCAAGAAGCTAGAGTTGTACTCGGGGCTATCGCCTCGAGCGACTCTTACGCTTCTTTCGTGCTTAGCAACCTCCCGCGTGCATCCATAACTCAATAGTGTACGCTGTGGTGTTTACCATTTGTTAATTTTTATCTATTTTATTCGCTCACGAGTGTATCATTCCACGCTGCCCTTGTCTTCTACTCCACCTCTCTTCTCTCTCCTTTATTCATGCGCATGCGGATTCTGAGTATATCGTCTCTTCCTTCCATCTCAAACGGATTATTAAACTTGAAAAGCAGTTTATTTTGGATGAGTCAGCCAGTGTTTTATTATACTTATCCTAATGCAATCTTAACATGTGTACACTGGAACTGAAGGCTTCTACAAAAAGAACCTGTGCAACGCTAGATACAAAAAACAACTAAAAAGCCACACTTTAGAAATGGAAAAAAAATATATGGAAACGTATTCCTTATCTAATGCAGCAGCAAGATACCCCGAGGAAAGGGTAACTTACCTGGTTCCACCACTAATCACACATCAGTGAATGTAATTTTACAGAGAGTTAGAAAAAAAAAGTGTGCCACATAAGAAAAAAGAAATTGGACAAACATAAGACTGACTCAGCTAAACGCTTGAATAATCCGAAACTTCCATGATGCCACCGGCGGGAACCTCTTTAACGAGTTATCAGATTATTAATTTCTGACTAATTCGTTCTCATGCCACTCAAACGTTAGAAATTACATGTACTCCCACCAAGCTTTCGACTTAGCTAGTCCTAACAGTTTGAGAACTTGTGTCACATAACAACCAAGTAAGTTCGTGACATATTTCTTTGTATCATTTCTTGGTGTCATCAACAGGACACAGAAAAGCTACTTGAACAGCTCGCCAGCGACCAGGAAGCAGTAGATCAAGTGCACAGTGTGGTACAAAAAGAGGAAGAAATCATGAATGAGGAAGCCCTAAGAGTGCAGGCGATAGCGGAGGAAGCTCAGAGGGACCTAGAGGGAGCCTTACCGCAGTTACAAGCAGCTGTTGAGGCCCTAGATTCGCTGGACAAATCCGACATTTCTGAGATCCGAGTGTACACGAAGCCTCCTACTATGGTGATGACAGTGCTTTCGGCAGTCTGTGTCCTGCTGCAGCAGAAACCTGACTGGAATTCGGCTAAACTGTTGCTAGGTGATCAGGGATTCTTGAAAAAACTTGTTGGTTATGACAAGAACAGTATCCCTGACAAGGTGAGCTCTTCTTGTAACTGGTGGGTTGTATCCTGTGTAATGTTCGACTTGTTATTAAGACAAGAACAGTGTCCCTGCCAAGGTGAGCTCTTCGTGTAACTGGTGGGTTGTATCCTGTGTAATGTTCGACTTGTTATTAAGACAAGAACGGTGTACTTGAGAAGGTGAGTTGCTCATATAATTGGGAGGTAGTGTCTTGTATAATTTTTGGCTTGTTAGTTGAGACAAGTTAAGCGCACTGCCCTTGAAAAGGCGGGTGAGCGTTCATATAGCAGGTGGGAGGTGTCCTGCTCAATGCATAGCAATGATGACGCGTAATCCCCTCAACAGCGTTCATGTTTACAGTGCTTTAAAGTTAAGAACGTTGTTGCGTTGCGACTGCAAAAGTGGAAAACCACCTTCATGATATTTATCTTATATTTATGATGGTATATTATCAAGAGTAACCTTTTTGTGATATAAAAGAGGGAAGCTTTTTTTAAAAAAACTGTGGTGCTGCATATGTGGGGAGTATAACAAAGTGATTTTGGTTTAATCAACTCCGTTGATATTGCAAATTGGCTACCGCAAATGGTTTAAAAGTTGACGTTTCGAGCGTTGGCCCTTCGTCACAGCGAATGACATTTCTTTACTCACGCCAGGTCTTCACGCGCCTCAAACGATACACTCAGCATCCGGAATTTAACCCAGAGGCTGTGGGTAAGATATCAGTGGCTTGTAAGTCTATGTGTCAGTGGGTGCTGGCGCTAGAGAATTACGCTGAGGTGTACAAAATCGTGCAACCCAAACAGAGAAGATGCGAAGAAGCGCAAGCTGCTCTGGCCATCGCCAAAGAAAATCTACAACAGAAGCAGGTATGACAAACGTGCATTCCTGGAATTCTTCCCTCTATTTGGGTTTATTGCGAATGCGCCCCATTGCAAGTTCGCCCCCTACCACCTTTGCGAGTTTACTTAACAGGAAATGAATACGTTCTGTCGTAGCGAAACGAATCGAAAGATTTGCGGGCGAACTCGTTTTACGTAAGGGGCGAACTTCTAATGGGGCGAATTCACTTTCTTGCATTGCAAAAGTGATTCAAACGATTAATGTGGGTTTACAATCTAAGAAATGCTTACTTTATACGTTAGTCATTAAATCTGGGTCACAATGCACAAGGTAAATAATGACTTGCGGTTTGGCCCAAGTGAGTTTTTTGAGAGGCCTTCTCCTTCCCCACTATTTAATGACCCCTACCCCACCCGTCTGAAAGCCCAGGTAACTAATAAGCCAGGGGGTGCTTTTCAAGGCTTTTATGGAACCATGGTACATAGAAGTTAGAGAAGTTACGAATGTTTCTTTAGTAATCTATACGTGTAGTTTAAAAAGCGGAATGAAAGAGAATTTAAAAGATGACGTTTTTGCCTTTTAGCTAAGTCTGCTGAAAATTCAGGAACAGCTTCAGCTTCTCAAGCAACAGTATGATGGCAGTGTGGCACAACTGGAAGAACTCAAACAGAAGAAGGAGCTTACTATCGTCAGGCTCCAGAGGGCTTCAGTTCTTACTGCAGCCTTGGCTGAAGAGCAGGTACGAAGAGAAAAGAACCTGGGGACTCTTCTTTAGCGTAGGATACTCGTCTGTAGGCCGAGTTGTTGACTAATACCCTTCGAAGTGCCACTTAGAAGGCAGTGTTTTGACACTTTTATTCTTCTTCTTTGTTGAACCAATTGGTTCCTCAGTTATGTGGAGAAATTTTGAAGTGGGTGTCGAAATCAATACGGCTTTGCTTTTAATTGGCTCGACTTCGCTCAGTGATTGGTCCAGTAAACACGTGCCACTTTCTCACAACCAATCAGATTCAAAGCTTAATCCAAACACGACTTGGTCGACCGCGTTGTCCCGCGCTTCGGGGAATTTTCTCGCTTTTGCCTCGAGTTCTCATTGGCTCCTCCTTTTTTATTGCTTTGTTTTGATTGGTAGTTGTGATTACTTTGGCTTGGTTTTATGTTAATCAGTCGAAATGCGTTTAAGATGGCTTCCCAGTTTATTTATACCGTAAAGAGAGAGAGGTATTTTGAGGGTTGACTGTTTTACCAGCTTGCCCAAGAACGCAACGATCTTGGGTTTGGCACACTAACCCCCAGGCCAACGCGTCTTCTATTCAACATGAATTCATGCTTAACAGACTCAAATCGAGTTGCATTTTTCATAGGTTCGCTGGAGCAACTCGGTTAACTCTCAAGAGGAAGACGCCAAGGGTCTTATAGGCGATACACTGGTATCTTCTGCGGCTGTGGCTTACCTGGGCGCGTTCACGTCATCCTACAGGCATCGGCTTCTCTCACACTGGCTGCAGCTCTGTAAAGCGGAGAAGATCCCAGTGTCGCAACATTTTGAACTAACAGAGTTTCTGTCTGAGCCGATTGAAGTTCAAAATTGGCTGAACAAGGGACTGCCTCATGATAAACACTCCATTGAGAATGCTGTACTCATCAAGCATTGTCGCCGCTGGCCACTCTTGATCGACCCGCAGGAGCAAGCCTCTAAGTGGATCACGCAGACTGAAAAAGATAACGGGCTCAAGATTGTCAAGGCCTCGGATCCAGGCTATCTCAGAACATTAGAGAGCGCCATACCGTTAGGTCAACCAGTTCTTGTTGAGGTAAGTAGTTGGAGTAATTTTCAATTGGGTATTGATGGTGAGAAAGGCTCTCTCTACCGTGCTTTATGTTGACCTTAAAAAGACATTGCTGCTACTCTCTAAACCAATCAGATATGAACGCAAAACCCAGGTCTGACCAGATCGTAACAGAAGTTGTTGGCGGTAATAGAAGCTAATTATGTCACTTTGTCTCTTTTCTTCAATCGGATTTAGAACAATTCCGATTATCTACATTTTTAATAGAAAGTATATCGACATAAGGTCACCTTCGTTCTTGGAAACAAAGAGGAAAGAGTTAACTGTCCGTAGGAAATGTTACATGTAAGGTGTTTAGATTCTCGACTTTAATGGGAAGGCGTTGGATTTAAAGTAACAGGCATATGATCGGTGTTTCCGTTATAAACATTTTTTGCAGGATTTGGGGGAAAACTTGGACCCGTCGCTAAACCCAATCCTGGGAAAAAATACTATTACGCGAGGAAATCAGGAAGTGATGGTAATTGGTGACACTGAGATCGAATACAATAGCAACTTCCGGCTATACATGACCACACCCTTGGCTAACCCGCACTTTCTACCGGAAGTGTGCATTAAAGTCACGGTGATCAACTTCACTGTCACGCTGGATGGATTGCAGGACCAGTTACTGTCACGTGTAGTCCAGAAGGAAAGACCGAAGTTAGAGGAGAGCAGGAAAGAGTTACTTCACGGCTTGGTAACCGATCGTTATAAGTTAAGAGAATTAGAAGATCGATCGCTGTCTCTGCTTCATCAGTCACATGGTAACATCCTGGACGACGAAGACCTGATCTCCACTCTGGATGACAGCAAGAAAGTGGCAAATGTCATTCACACGCGTGTCGTCCAATCAGAAGAGACCGAGGAGAAGATTAACCTCAGTCGAGAGAAGTACCTTCCCGTGGCCACCCGGGGTGCGGTGTTGTATTTTGTTCTCACAGATTTAGCTTACGTGGATGTTATGTACCAGTTTTCTCTGCCCTGGTTTACAGATCTCTTTGACGGCTGCCTTGAATCCGCTCAGGAGCCAGCGCAGACTACGAGAGGCGAGTCACCTATAAGGCCTGGTAGCGCAGGAACGCTCCGACCTATACGTAAAGATAAACTAGCTGTATCAACTGCGAGTCGACCCGGGTTTAAACGTAGACAAACTGCTAACCGACCCAAAGATGCAACTGAGTTGCCAGAGTATCTTGAAGCCTTGGTAGAGGTGCTAACAGAGAGTGTCTACCGGGTAGTTTCGTACGCACTGTTTGCATGTCACAAACTTACGTTTTCTTTTATGTTATGTGCGGGAATCATGCGTCGTGGTAGGTCTACATCACGTGACAAAGCCATCGACGAGGAGGAGTGGAATTGGTTCTTTCGTGGATCAGCAGTCGCTGCCATAACAGACAGACTCGAGAGTGAAGAGGAGTTGAATAGGTCTTGGATGGGTGGGTACCTGCTTTTACCCTTAAACACGAAGGCGCGCTATATCAGGAAGTCTTCCCTGGGAAGACCTAGGCTCATTTGTCACTCACCGTTGACGTGTGCGGGTCAAATTTAAATGCTATCTATTGTTTACTTCTACCAGCATGGTGGCATGAGGTAACGTGCGAACCACCTACTTCGATCTCAAATTTACCGCCACAAATAAAGACAGTTTCCACTGGAGAAAGGAAATACAAATCTCAAAAATTCTTGTATTGTGATGAAGACATAAAACAATTTTGACGAATGCGCCCGCTGTTCGTTGCTTTGGAGTAGCTGTAGCTCAAGCTGACTTGACTCTAAGAGTTCTACATCACAAGACGGTTGATTGAGAAATGGTCCAGTGGGACCTAAGGCTCCTTTTATAGCGCGCCTTCGTGTTTAAGATCGAATTAACGATTCTCCTAACTGTTTGCCATTCATTACTTTAAATGTTATCTCTGAGAATTTGGTGTTAAATCAAACAAAATCCCAAAGTCGATATTTTTCTGCCCTTACATCACCTCACTGCTTGAAAATGCACTTATATTGTTAAGAGAAACTCACCGATTTTGGGTCACTCTTGGGGGTGGATGCGTTAACATCAACAAGAATGGAACACTACACCGCAATTACACCGAGCAACCATTATATGTCATCAGCCTAGAGTGCACTGCGCACTATTCAAGGTTGCGGCCGTGGGAGATTCGATGTGGCTGTTAGACCTTTCTTTGGAAAACGACAAAAAATCAGATTGCTCGGTGAGGCAATCTTTTATGCCAGATCTATTGAGAAGTAAATTTGGAACATTTTGAGCGTTATTTGAAAAAGGAGTGGAGGTTCCGTTAAACCTGTCGCGTCGAAAAGAGGGAGTTCCTCGGCAACTGTTGTTGTTGTTGTTGTTGTTTTTTTTTTTACTTCGGGTGTAAACTGGCTGTTGTTTTTTTAATGTAGGGTTAGGCTCTTCGAATCTAGACCTTCTGGGTGATGAGATTTTGTTAGTGCTTGAAAATCTAACGTGATTTCCGCCCTTGTCACGTGCGGAAAGTGTGGAGTGCCTCCACAAGAAGCGTGCTAACCTTTAATCGCGTTAATTTTTCTATGCACAATGAATGGACTTTTCCAAAATAATGATGCTAAGAATTTTACAAATTTCATAGGCTCTCAGACGACAGCCGCGGGAAGCCTGGGTCAATACATGTCGAAAATGAACAAATCTCCAGCAAAGTGGATAACTGAGTCTACTTGGAAGGAATGTCTACAGCTGTCAGCTTCAATTCTGGCGTTTTCTGGCTTATGCAGTAACATTGCAGTGAATGGCGCCTTTTGGAGCAAGTTCTCGGCGAGCGAGAATCCATTCAAATTCATTGAAAATGAAGGAGAGCTCGAAAATGATAAGACTACCTCAACAGAAGGTTTGTGGAGTTACGTCACCTATATAACGCTATTGTCACTGTTTATTTCACTTCATTTTATGTCACGCAATTTTATGTCACGCAAATTAAGAAGCTCGCGAATTACAGATGGTTAGGAACTGTGGCAAAATTGTCACGCAATTTTGAGAAGATTTTCTTTGTCACGCATTTTTTTAAGCCTACGTATACATATGGGTTATTAACCAAGCGTGAGGTCAAGATGGCTGGAGATTGGCTGAGTTCTTTTTTGCATTTTTATGGACCAAGACGAAGTAGAGGCCCATAAAAAGGCGAAAAAAAAATGAGGCTAATATCCAGCCATCTTGGCCGAACAAGCTTGGTTAATAAAGGATTTATTATATCACAAATATATTTCGCTTTGATAAGAATTAGGAATAACTTGTTTACTTCAAGAGCCTGGAAAGAAAGCCAACTGTGTTTGTGGCACAAGAAACTCACGAGAGTCTTTTTTGTTTTCTTTGTTTTGACTATCTTTTGCCACTCTTTGCGTTTCCATCGCCGAAATTGCTCAAGGATTACGAGCGTAGTTCTAATTCTATTTTTTTTTATGCGTGGGATCAATACGGGTAATCCCCAGCGGGCAAGATTGGCCCATCTTGCCCGCTTGGGTAGCCAATCAGAACACGGGATTCGCTTCATCTTGCCCACGCGCGCTGGGAGCGATGTAATAGTTAGTTCTTATTAACCGAGCGAGCGGTCTGTATGGGAGAATCTTGACCGAGGTCGCCAGTACAGACCGAACGCAGTGAGGTCTGTACCAGCGACCAGGGTCAAGATTCTCCCATTCAGATCTACCTAGCTCGGTTAATTAGATGTTTATTATATGGCTGTGTCTTGTATGCCAATTTTTTATATTCTTTGTACCTTTTTTTTCTAGACCGGTCTAGATGCGGGTCTAGATGGGAAAATCTAGACCGCTTTCAGTATTGATTTCAGCCAATGAAATTCGTGAATTCGGTAGTTCCCAGTCCTTGTGAGACACAGCCATATAATGAAGGGTGATACTGTAAAGAGAAATAAGATGCTAGTTACTCTTCGGAGTCAAAGGGTTCATATCCTCTAGATGATCACCAGACACTATTTCTAGTTGCTGAGTGGTGTCTCAAACGGTGAAATGAAAAACTAGTTTAACTTGTTTCATATGTACAGATCACCACCCTCCCCAGCTCGGCTGGAACGTATCCAGTCTCTCCAGGTTTCAGCGCCTTATCATCGTCAAAGTGCTGCGGCCCGAATGTCTCGTTGACTCCGTCAGACTGTTTGTGGAACAACAAATGGGGCCCAAGTTTGTCACGAGCTTTGGGTTTGATCTACAGGAAGTATTTGAAGAGTCCAGTTGTCGGAAACCACTCATCTTTATCTTGTCTCCAGGTAAGTGCTGCTGTGCTCCTGAAAAGGTATGATATCCTAGACGTCAGAGTAGCAGGGACGGCGCAGTGGTGAGAGCGCTCGCCTTCTACCGTTGTGGCCTGGGTTCGATGCCCGGGTTTGTTGTTCGGTTTCGTCCTTACTCGGAGGATTTTCTTCGCGTCCTTCCGTTTTCCTCCTTCCACAAAAACCAACATTGTAAATTCCAATTAGACCAGGAAACGAAGGACAAGTAGAACCACCCAATGGAATGTCCACTGCTAAATCCCATTCATTTTTATTTATTTTATGTCTTGGGCTAGTTTGTTCTTGAGGCAAATGGCCCATTCTCTCTGAGCCCATACCGATTCTCCTGGCATGAAGCGACCAGGAACATTGTTACTACCCCTGAAGGGGATGTTTTTCTATGTGTCTCCCCCATTCCCCCCCTCACTCAATTTCTTTAAACTTCTTTTTTATGGTGTACGGCACATGTAGGGATATTCTACTATCGAGATTATTATCATGATTACTTCGGAAATCCGTCATGAGAGAGGAGGTTCAAATTTTATACCGGCACTAGAATCGTTCTTTTCCGTCTATCGTTGAGGATGTTGTAATAAAACAACATTGTAAGCTTTTTTCATTAATTTCTGGTGTTCTAATGTCTAAAATCAAAGACACAATTCACTTTATTGCTCTGTTCTTAAGACTATCTATCAAACCGTCTCGTTGTTGTTGTTGTTTTTTTTTTTTCCCTAAGGTTCAGATCCAACCTCGCAGCTCATGCGGTTTGCCCGGGAAACTCGAGGGACCTCTTTACATCTGGACATCATTTCACTAGGAAAGGGTCAGGGCCCAAGAGCTGAAGAGGCAATCACCAAAGCTTACCAACAGAAAGGAAAGTGGGTGTTCCTACAGAATTGTCACCATGCTGCTTCATTTATGCCACGTCTCCAAATGATTGTGGGAAGGTGAGGGATCTAGGGCGAGTTAAGGGTCTCCTATAAATAAGTTTGAGAGTCAGGGAAGGAGATATAATAAATCATTTCATTGCACTGAATAACTTAACCTGAGCCTTAACGTTTTAATGATTATATATTGGTGAGGGCAGGGAAGAGTGAAAGCTGTTCGTTGCGCAAGTGTATTGGCCGTGCGACCTAAGGTGATTATCTGAAGGTGAGTGAAGAGGGTTCTAGGGGTTTTTAGTTTTAATTTAGACTTTTATTGTTGTTATACTTAGGATATCTCATCCGGGAACAAGAGTGGATCCGAATTTCCGGATGTGGCTGAGCTCCAAACCAGACCCCTCCTTTCCAGTGTCCATCCTACAGGCTGGACTCAAGGTACTCATCGGCATTTTAGCATTTCTGCCTTGTTGCTTTAAGCAGTTACAGAAGTAATTGAAACTTATATGGTGTTAGTACTAACTACTATTTTTGGGAAGGTATAGTGCTGAAGAATGTGGTAAAACTGTTTTTGTGTTTGTTCATGGCTTTGTTCTGACTAGCTAGCTAATCCCTCTAGAATGTTTTAGACTCATACGTAATGCAGTAAAGATATGTTAAGTTACTTGTTGCTCGCTTGCTGCTTCTTTGCTTTGGTTCAAAGCGAAAAGACACGGCATCTGATGTCCCCCGGAGAAAAATTTGCGACACTGCGTTAGTTATTTCTGAATCCTCATGGGATCCTCAAAACGAAAGTGACACAGGATTGGCTTGTTCTGAATCCTCTTGGGATCTCCGAAAAGGGAAGTGACACGAGATTGGCTAGCTCAAAATCCTCCTGAGATGTCCGAAATTGGAAGTGATCTGTAATAACCTTTCGGGGTGACCTAAGGGCAATGTCCACCTGGCAATTCAGTCTCTTAGGTTAATCCTCTCTTGCTTGATCACTTGTTTGTAAAGCATGTGCTAAACATGTCATTCGCTTGTTTTTGTAGATGACGGTGGAACCTCCCCCAGGGATCAAAGCCAACCTGCTACGATCTTTAGGGGGAGTGGGTGGGGTGGTGACCGAGTCTATGTGGGAGGACTCGGGGCCAGGGCCGAGTTGGAAGAGACTTGTGTTCGGTTTGTGTTTCTTCAATGCAATTGTGCATGAAAGGAAGAAATTTGGAGCCTTGGGGTGGAATATCCCGTATGAATTCACTGCCTCGGATCTTGAGGTAATATTTTTTTACTTAAACTATTTTTTACTTTTCATGATTTAGTGGTAGAAAGTGTTTAGTCACAAATGGGAGCACGGAGAGTCATGCGAACCAATTTTTATTTTTTTAAACAGGTCGGGAGAAAAGAAAAATTTAAACCAGTCGTTACTATAATTACAATTCTTTCAGCTTAACTATGATTTAACAGGAAACCCTGGTGTTAACAACGCACCAGCAAATATTCGAAGGCGTAAAGAAATTTGATATTCTTAAACCCTTAGTAAACATGTAGTTACCAGTGGTTTCTAGAATGAAGGTTACAGACAAAATACATTAAGAGCGGAACAACCAATTACAACGATGAAATAACACAGGAAACACGGATAACACAGGATGAAATGTGAAACAAGCGAAGATAGGAGACATTACCTGACGATTTGGGAATACTGCCTAAAGAACTAACGTTGGTCGACCTTTAACTAGCGAAGTCCTTGCAAATTTTATAACCCGCGTGAATGTGGAGCTATTACACTATTATACGCTGGGACTGTGGCGAGGCGGGGGATTGGTTTCTACACCTGGGTTCACACTGTTTACTAGTCACATTACCATTAGGTACCCACTCAAGTGTTTTACCCACTTTAAGTGTTTTAATTTTTATTGTTGTTATTGATAATTTGTCATTGTTACTATTTTTATTACTTATTGTAAGCGCATTGAGATTCTTAAATGCGTATTAAGAACGTTCATTATTATTATTATTATTATTAACATAGAGGCAGCCTTTACTTTGAGCTAAAAGTGTCCTCAAATGGCACTCTTAGGTCCAAACCATTAATTGTGGAACGTCATATCCTACCTAGGCCTCCTTAGGGGGGAGGTATTTGATTCGCTCGCTTTCATCATTTTGAAGGGAAATATGTGACATTCAGACGGCTATTGTCAGGGTTGAAAATGAAATGTTAGCGTGTACAGAACACTTGCTCTCTTAATTTTACTACAGGTGTCGATTTTGATGCTTCACATGCTACTAACTGAGCATCACGAGGTGCCCTGGAAAGCCATCAGATACTTGACGGGTGAGATCGTGTATGCGGGCCGAGTCACAGACAACTGGGACCAGCGTTGCTTGCAGAGTATCCTGGGAAACTTTTACACTCCACTGGCCTTGCAAGAGAGCTATGGTTACACTTTAGACTATGTAAGAGTAGTTCATTGAATGATCTTGGTCTTTCAGATAATGGGAGAAGTGTGGTAGTGCATATTAAGAGTTCGCGATGAAAATGTACAATTTTCCCTTCCTCGTGGAAACATATCAGAAGCCTGGGTAGTGTAGGCTTAGAAAATGTTGAATTGTTGCATTTTGCTCGGACTTCTTTTTTACTTTCTGCCTATTCGGACTTATTTCCATTTGCCGCTGTTGTCGTCCCTCAAAAAAGCGAGAGTTGAATATTGTTTCTAATTCATTTTAGGTGTACCGTCCACCTCCCCCTGAAATCTCCTTGTCAGTTTGCTGTGAGTACATTGAAGGTCTCCCTGCTGCCGATGCGCCTGAACTCTTCGGAATGGATCAGAATGCAGAAACAGCTTACCTCGCTGGCCAAGGAAGAGCATTCATAGCTGACCTTTTAGCAGCCCAGCCTCGTCTCACCGCATCCATAGGGTATGACTGGAACAACATTTCTTATTCGTGTTATAATGAACAAAAAGTATAGTAAAAGTAGAAAGGAAATATGTAAAACTCAAAGGACGGAGAAACTCTAACATGAATATCTAGTGAGTAGTAGAATGTGAGGTGGTGTCTTGATCTAAGGGGAGTCATTTGGATCACGGGGCTTCCCTGTGCTGTTTTTTTTTGTTAATCAGAAGCACCTGCCAAGATGGCGCGCTGGCTAGAGCGCTATGGAAAATTTAAGCTACTGCTTTCTGTAGGCTTATTGAGTTTGAAATTTATCATTCTAGAAATAATTCCTTGTTCATTTTACGGCTGGAGTTTCGTTGACAATCTAACTATATTTCCTTCATATTTATTCCTCATATTTACCACAGCTCAAACAAAACTAATGACGACACAGTCATGGATCTTGTGAATGACACATTAAAGTACCTCCCTCCACGGGTGGACTTCAACTCTAATGGCGTTACAGCTGATCAAGGGAACCTAAGGCGTGGATCTGTTTCTCCAGACCGCCTGAGGCAGATGGCTGAGAAGAAGCTATCCCAGGATCCTTTGGCCGATCACGCGAATCAGTCTGCATACGTCACAGTTTTAAGACAGGAACTAAACCGGTTTGACCGGTTGTTGGGGATCATTTACACGTCACTTTCATCGTTGCGACTGGCCGTTAAAGGGGAAGTGCTCATGTCTGAACAGTTAGAGGAGGCGTATGACGCGTTGCTTAGCAACCGCGTTCCAAAGGCTTGGGAGGTATGAAACTTTCATGGAGTGTCTAAACTCCCCATAACTCCCAGAAGTGTTTATCGTGTAAATTCTCCCTAGAATATCTAACGTTATCCAGTAAACGGGTTAATGAGAATACTCAGACTTGTCAGGTGGAAGTTGTTATCTTGATCTAACACCAAATAGGCCATTTCCGAATTACGTTTGGCCTCTTTTTCAAAACGAGGCCTGGTGCTCAACCATACGTATGAAAATGAGGTTAATTTGCATGTGATTGAAAACTTATTACCATACGAAAGGATGAGCACCAGGACTCGTTTTGAAAAAGAGGCTAAAGGAAATTCGGAAATGGGTTATTCTCGTAACTAATCTACAACGAAATGTGTAGCAGCTAGAGGGGAGAATTTGCAATCAGATCTTTGGAGTTGAAGGGTTAAGTATTAAGAATTTTTCGTAACGTCAGATCTTCATCTTAAACCTTTTTCGTTCTACGGTATGACGCATTTTTTCTATTTAGTTTTAGGTTACCAAATTAAAAGATGATACCTTCCACCAATAGATTTGTGGTCAGTTTGTATTTAGTAGGTACTGATTCTCGCAAGAGACACCTCACGGCGTACGTCCACATGTAAAGTTTAGAGTACAAGTTAACACTAGTTTTATTCATTGTAGCAAGCGGCGTATGAATCCTGCAAACCGCTGGGAGCCTGGGTTGACAATCTTGCCAAAAGAGTGGATTTTTTTAGCTCCTGGTTAGACTTGGTCAGGAATGACAAAAGATCAAAGTCCTGGGTGTCTCGTGAGACTGGCGTTATGCCGACACCAACTTCCAGCCAGTCATCGATGTCTACACCTCTACCACGTGATCACCCTATTGCGTTTTGGTTACCAGCTTTTTTTTTCCCGCAAGGTGAGTTATTGATTTGTCTGGTCTTCTACTTTGGCCAACAGGGCTTAACAGAACATGCAATTTGAAAACTAAAAACTCAAGAGCATGACGAAAGGTTTTACCTTTTGTGGTCAAAGAAAAGATCGTCACCTTTTCTTTAAGACTTCGTTAATCATCCCCCTCATCATTCTCCTTTTACTGATACTTCTCCTCCTGTTCTTCGTACTCCTTCTCTTCCTCTTTTACTCCATATTCCTCTTCCACCTTCCACTCCATTTCCTTCTCTTCCTCTTTTACTCCATATTCCTCTTCCACCTTCCACTCCATTTCCTTCTCGTTTTCGATTTCCCTTCATAATCATCCTCGTGTTCCTCTCTACTACCATCTCTCCTTTTCCCTTTTCTTTTCCCTTTTCCTTTTCTTAATCCTCCTTCGTCCTTCTGCTCTTCTTCATCCTTCCTATAACTATCCTTCTTAGCTACAGCTTCCTCCTCATTTTCCTTCTCGTCCTCTCCGTTCCTTCTCGTTTTCCTCCTCCATCTCCTCGTTGTCTTCTCCCCTTCCCTCCTCCATTCTTATCCTTGAACTCTTTCTCCTCCCTGTCCTTCTCATCTCTATCCTTCCCTCTGCATTTTCTTTTTTTTGAATTTTTCGTCAGTTTAACATCCATTCCCATTTTCCAGGTTTTCTCACAGCTATACTACAGACACATGCCCGACAGCGCAACCTCCCAGTTGACTCGTTAAGCTTCCGGTACCAAGTACTGAATGAAAAATGGACGAACGATGAACGAGTTCACAGTGAGAGCGACGTCGATTGCAAGAGAGTCGCTTTCCAGGTGAGATAAATCAGGAGAGTGACATGCTCAGAGCATTCGTTGAGGTTCCATTTATATCCTTATTTAGACAAGGAAGTGACAAACACNTACTCTACGGAATAAGCGTTATTCAATTAGTTATACCACAATTTCGAGTGCAATACCACAATTTTGAGTGCACAAGTAAAGCCTTCTCTTCCTCTTTTACTCCATATTCCTCTTCCACCTTCCACTCCATTTCCTTCTCTTCCTCTTTTACTCCATATTCCTCTTCCACCTTCCACTCCATTTCCTTCTCTTCCTCTTTTACTCCATATTCCTCTTCCACCTTCCACTCCATTTCCTTCTCTTCCTCTTTTACTCCATATTCCTCTTCCACCTTCCACTCCATTTCCTTCTCTTCCTCTTTTACTCCATATTCCTCTTCCACCTTCCACTCCATTTCCTTCTCTTCCTCTTTTACTCCATATTCCTCTTCCACCTTCCACTCCATTTCCTTCTCTTCCTCTTTTACTCCATATTCCTCTTCCACCTTCCACTCCATTTCCTTCTCTTCCTCTTTTACTCCATATTCCTCTTCCACCTTCCACTCCATTTCCTTCTCGTTTTCGATTTCCCTTCATAATCATCCTCGTGTTCCTCTCTACTACCATCTCTCCTTTTCCCTTTTCTTTTACCTTTTCCTTTTCTTAATCCTCCTTCGTCCTTCTGCTCTTCTTCATCCTTCCTATAACTATCCTTCTTAGCTACAGCTTCCTCCTCATTTTCCTTCTCGTCCTCTCCGTTCCTTCTCGTTTTCCTCCTCCATCTCCTCGTTGTCTTCTCCCCTTCCCTCCTCCATTCTTATCCTTGAACTCTTTCTCCTCCCTGTCCTTCTCATCTCTATCCTTCCCTCTGCATTTTCTTTTTTTTGAATTTTTCGTCAGTTTAACATCCATTCCCATTTTCCAGGTTTTCTCACAGCTATACTACAGACACATGCCCGACAGCGCAACCTCCCAGTTGACTCGTTAAGCTTCCGGTACCAAGTACTGAATGAAAAATGGACGAACGATGAACGAGTTCACAGTGAGAGCGACGTCGATTGCAAGAGAGTCGCTTTCCAGGTGAGATAAATCAGGAGAGTGACATGCTCAGAGCATTCGTTGAGGTTCCATTTATATCCTTATTTAGACAAGGAAGTGACAAACACCATTTGTGGCTCGCCCAGCGCAATAAACAGTAACATATAAGAGTTTTGCTGAGTAGCTTTTTGAGAAGTCACGCACTACGGTTTCATCCACGGAGTAAAAAGTTAGAAACACTTTGCAAAGCATTATAAAGGGCACTTAATGAAAGTGCTGCTAAAACCCTTCGTCTTAGATAAAACACAAGCGTTTCATCCATAGGCTTAGTTAAYAACCTCCTTATACAGAGTAATTAGCAGTACCAAATGAAAATAATTCTCAGTAGTTTTGAATAGAGTAGTCTCGTAGAAAAGTTTCTTTAACGAACTCGAATACGAAAAACACAGGTGTCACTACAAAAATACTGGCCGACTTAATTGAGAATTTTACAAATATCAAGATTAGAAAAACATCATTCAAATCGCAGTATAGCTCCTAAATTAAATCACCACAGCAGATGCTATACCTTAAGAGGTCTTGACGTAGCTTTTCATGCAGAGTTGGTACATATCTTTTCTCTGAACCTATAAAACCAAATCTTTCCTTAGGGTACTCCTCCAGACGAAGGCTCTCTTGTGTTTGGACTTTATTTGGATGGAGCATCATGGGATTTCAAGCGAGGATGCTTGCAAGAATCTCTTCCTGGCCAGCGGTTTTACCCTCTACCCCAGCTACTCGTCAGTCCGATACAGGTAATTGCAAACATCTTACTGTAAGCATCTTATTGCAGATGGATGACCCTTCAACAAGGTACTAGGGCGGATGAGCGTTCAAGTTATACCAAAAATGCAGCATTGTGATTTTTTACCTTTAACACTTTCAGCAAAACCTATCAACAACACCTGATGGAAAAGACAAAGAGGATGCAGAGGAAGACCTTCACACGTACGAATGTCCGTTGTACAGAACTTCTCTTCGTGCCAGTTCCCTCACGTCCACCGATCACCCTACTAACTTCGTCACGTCTGTGAATCTGCAGTCTGTTCAGCCAGCGGACTATTGGATTACCCGTGGCGTGGCTCTTCTCTGTCAACTGGACGATTGATGTCACTTTTCCAGTGTGATATAAATTTCGTGAAAAATTTTGTAAAGAAGAGGTTGTAAACGAGTTGTTGAACAATATCATTTTCTGATTTTCGAGGTCCTACTTCTGCTAAGTGCTTTAAAATACGAGCCATTTCAACGATGATTTTCGATTTTAGCTGCCACCAAGGTTTTTTGCAGATATTTATCATGATTTAGATTAAACCTCACGGTTTTTGTCCCAAAATCCCAACAGTTTCCTTCCATCCTACTGAATGCATCTCTCATTTTCGAGGGACATTCATTTATTCGATCCAATTGGAATGACAGATCAGTTCTTTTAAACAATTCAAAATCGCTGAAAAAAGCCCTAATTCGCTTCGTGGAGGGGTTTTCACCGCGAACGAGTGAACAGACTTGAAGAGAGAAACAGTGTGATGTAACACAGCTCCTTCACTGCTTTTACATACATTTGAAGGTTTTTATTTACTTTTACTTCGTGTTTATAAACGCGATGGTTAACTCTTGTCAATATTTAAAACACATTCGTAGCCTCCGTGTTTAGTTGTTTATAAAAAAAAAAGTGTGAAAAGAAAAATAGAATATACCATGAACTGTACAGTACTCTTACGTTATAATGTGTGCATATTTTTTTCATTTTACTGTAAATAAAGTTAATTTTTTATCCCTTAAACCATCATATAAATGCTGGTTGTTGAGTTCATATGTTTCAGCTATTTAAGCTTTTTTTTTTTTTCTAAGATAAGTTTCGGGTCCACACAGTGGAGGGGATCACGGTCAATGTTAGGATCGAGAGGGTGGCAGTGAATCAGTGGATGCATTGGATAAGACAGCTGCAACTGATTTTTCCGCCGACAGAGATCAAGTCTTCAATCTAATTAAATTTAATTTAATAATAAGTTCTTATATAGCGCATGAAAATTGAACTTTATGCGCTTTACAATTACAATTAACAAAAATTCAATAAAAATCCTATACATGCAATTATCGCTACTCTAAACTAACGAAGTGTTACGTGTTATACATATATTTGAAAACGTACGATATCAAAAAAACATCTGGTGGCTTAATTTTTGAAAAGATAAGTTTTCAATAAGCGTTCAAAACTGATGGAAATTTCTAAAGATCATCTGGGGGCGGGGGGGATCAGATTACTCTACGGAATAAGCGTTATTCAATTAGTTATACCACAATTTCGAGTGCAATACCACAATTTTGAGTGCACAAGTAAAGATTTTCAAAGACCACAAAATTGCACACTAGCCCTTTGGGCGAGTGCAATTTGTAGTCTTTGAAAAGAAACCAAATTACAGAAGAAATCATGTAATTACTAATAGTTTAATAGATATGATAAAAGCTTTACAGACAGTCAAAACAGGCGAAATTTGACAGCACGCGCGTGCTATTTGTTAGCACACGTGTTATATGAAAAATGCAATCGAGTCAGCAAATCAGACACGCATAATTTTTTCATTACCTTGTTACTGGAAGTATGGGATTATCATCGAATCAGACCATCATAACCGATAAAAAAAAAAAAAGAAGAAGAAAAGATAGATGAGGGGAAAGGTGAGTTCAAGCCTATAAACCCTAACATCACTGTGCAAGCTCTCAAGACTGCCTAGTATAACTCCTCGGCATCATTTGTCCAACAATCAAGAGCGTCAAGTTTGATTCTGGGGTGATTCGATACTCGGAGACCCAGGGGCTGTGAGTCGATTTCAAGTTAAAGGCAAAAGAGCCCCTGGGGACATTGTCTTACAAGACTAGTTCCAAACGGTCGCAGTCAGTTCTGGCATCTGATTGGTGCCAGAAAATCTTTGTGTTTTTCTGCCCAATCAGAGTAAAGTGTGCTTTGGAGTCCTTTCGTGTGTTTTAAAGGCCCATTTCCTTCCGAGATCCTTTGCAGTCGTTTGTTTTTGTTTTGGAATTGCGCTATTGTTAAATGGCGAACTCTGATAGTCATTCACAAACACTATTAAAAAGAAAAACAAAGATTTGGTGAAGAACACAGTAAAAAAATTTGCAGCTAAATATTTGAGACTGAAAAATCATAAATCGAGTCTGTGTATAAAACTTGTACAAAGCTTACTTGATGTTGAAGGAAATTGTTCGGCTTCAACACTAAATAAAATATAAACAAATAACCAATATTGGCCAAAACTGATTTACTTTACGCATTTCAATTATAGAATAATGACTTGTACAAATGAGATCGCTTACATACATATCTCAGGATCTCAAGTAAAAATCAGTCAAATAATTATTCTCACCTCGAAAAAATCTCCCCGGAGTCTCTAGTTCCATCGTAGGAACAATGCAATAACATTTCTGCAAAAGCACTGTCTGTAGTGTTACCGAAACCCAT